CTATGTTGTTACGTAGTTTTCTTCTTAACATTTTATCAAACACGGTGTGAGAAAATCATTTGTTAAAATAATTAGTATTCAAATTTTTTTGAAGGCCATAGGAATGTTCCAAAAATTACATAATAGAAAAAATAACAGAATAATTTTCATTTACCTTAAGATTATCAATTTGAGGAGAATATTTTCATCCATAGATACAATATCAGGAATGATAATGGAGTTTTAGATATTGTTAATGTAAATATTGGCTTCTTATAATTACATTTGACCAGGAAAAATAATGAAAGAAAAAAGATAGCGAAAGGAAAAAAAAAGGATAATTTCAGATACCTTCCCTGAGATTTCTGACAGTCTCACTCTCCTACCCTGTGGTTTCAAAAATATCACAAACCTCTCCTGTCAGAATTTTAGGTCCCATTTCTTGTATCATCATGGCAAAAAAGACTTAAATACCCTCACAAGTTAGCTAATATTTTGTAATTATCAAGACAAATTTGGTGAAGTTAGTTATAAACACAATTAATGTAATTAACGATAAATTAGAATCCTTTAACCAATATAGAAACAAGCAAGTAACTAACATCTAACATAATGTACATGTTTGTAAACTAATTGTACCTCATAGATCACCCCGTGTAAGGTGTTTATAGACAAATTAGTATTAGTTATATAGATAAAATTACATACCCACTGAAACTTGCAAGGAGATGCACAAGTGGGTCAAAACACCAATAACTATTCCAAATGTATGCATACCATTGCCTATGCATATTGTTGCGATGATTAATTACAATATGCATGTGAACAAATAACTGCATGTTCAACAATTTATATGCATCGTACTTGGTCAATAACACGGTGTACATTATTCAACCAGATTGTACATTCACTAAGTATTTATATACATGCTACTTATTGAAGTAAACTATCTCTCTAATATTTCGTGATTATCAGAACAAATTTGTTCAAGTTAATTATAAACACAATTAACGTAATTAACGATAAATTAGAATCCTTTAACCAATATAGAAACAGACAAGTAACTAATATCTAACATAATGTACATGTTTGTAAACTGATTGTACCTCACAGACCACCCGTGTAAGGTATTTATAGGTAAATTAGTATTAGTCATAAAGATAAAATTATTAATGCAAGATAATCAGGGCATTTGTGGTATATAGTTGTTTCTCTCTCCAACTCTCCATTTTTTATTGTTTGTATTTTTGAATTGGGTCTACTTTGAGACTGCATATTTAGTTTTAGGAGAAATTTGTGGTATTTTTGAAACTACAGGAGAGGCGAGTGAGACTGTCAGAAACTTCAGGGGAGGTATCTGAAATTATCCCAAAAAAAAGGAAGGTTCAGAGAGAGAATCAGAGAAAATATTAGTTGGGAAATAGAATTGGAAAGATATTAGTTGAAAAAAAGAGATGAAATGTGCCTCTATCTCTATCCTGCCACGTATGCAACCTATGTGGCAAAAAAAGAATTAGAAAGGTAATAAAATTTAAAATAAAATTACTTTGATTATATGTTTCAAAAGAAGAGTTAGTTTGGCAATAAACTCATCATACTTAATCACCTATTTGGCACACGAGTTGTTTGCCAAGTTTTGTTCTATAATTTTTTAACAACTTTAAGTTGTGTAATATTAAAAAACTTTTCGAAAATTTTAAAATACCTATATTAAAATACCCAAAAAAACACAAAAAAAATTTTCTTATTTCTTTTCTTTTCTTTCTCTCCCCATCTCATCAACCCACCATTGTTTTCGTCGTTAACCAGTACCACCAATCTCTTTAGTTTTTGTTTCTTTCTCTCCTCCCTCTCATTCTCCTCCTTCCTTATCCCCTTTTCTTTCCTCTCTCTCTCTCTCTTCCTCTTTTCTCTCTAGCTATCTCCTTCTTTGTCTCCAGCCACCTCATTTTGCCACCCTCCTCCTTTCCCTAGTATGATTTGGTCATGCGATCAAATCACGTTAGAAGTAAGAGAAGGGTGATGAGGGGAAAAAAAGGGAGGCCATAAGGGGAAGATGGAGAGAAGACGAGGAAGAATGAGAGACAGAGACAAAGAGAGAGAGAAGCAAAAAATGATTTTTTGTGACACCAACGGTCGCCTATAGTGAGAAAGTAATGAGGAAGATCAAAGATGGGAATGGAGAAGAAAAAGAGTATATGAAATAAAAGGAAAACAAAATAAAGAAAGATTAAGAAAAAAATGAAAAAGAAAGATGAAGAAAAAGGAAAAAAAGTTTACACACCCTAAAAAGGTTTTCTACAAATTATACAATAAGTTACAATTAAAATTTAGATAAAAAACATCCAAAAAATTCACTTGTCAATTAGGCATACTTATGAACAATAAAGTTAATGGGTCGTACAACTCAAAACTCAAGAATGATAGACATAACTAATTACCCAACCTCATCCCTTTTGCAACTACCAACTAGAAACATACCTCGTATCACATTTTCATGGAAAATTTTTGGGTAGATTCGGTTTACGACCTCTTATGTAGATTGAGTGATAAAAATGTTCCATGTCATCTTCTCGGTTATACACTCATCTTCTTCTAAATTTACAACCATCGAATCCTCAATATCCTCTATCTTTTTGCTCTATCACTGCTACTTTGCTTAATGCTCTAGTTATTACCACCACCATTATAGACATTACCTTTTACCTCTTTCTTCCAACCTAAGGTCCTATTTGGCAAATGGATTTTTTGCCAATTTTAACTATAATTTAAAAAATACCTACATTATAATACCAAAAAAACACAAAAAAATTCTCTTCTCTCTATTCTTCTTTTTCCTCATTCCACTTCAACCTATCACCACCAGCCACTGGCCAACGCCAGACGTCAACTTTTTTGGCGTTGATGCTGGCCACCGTTTTTTCTTTCTTTTTTTTTTCTTTTCTTTCTCTCCGCTTCCTCTCTTTCCCCACTTTCTCCCGCCATCTTCTCTACCTCCTGTCACCCTCCTTTTCTCCTATATGAGATTTGGATGTATTCTACCTATTCTATCTAATATAACAGATACTTTGCAATGAGTAGACTGACATCACAGTTGTGCGACCAGATCGCGCATAAGAAAGGGGGAGGGTGGCAGGGAAAGGGAGAGGGAGAAGAAGGTGAAGGGATAAAGTAGGGAATGGGGGAGAAGAGAAGGAAAAGAGGGAATGAAGAGAATGAGGGAGGGAGAGAAAAAAGGGAAAAAAAAGAGAAGCTAGCCTCATAGATTGCCATAAGGAATGGAGGAAAAGAACAATGGGGTGGGGAGTGAAGAAGAAGAGAAGGAAAAAAGAAAGAAAAGAAAGAGAAAGAAAATGAAAAAGAAAAGGAAAAGAAAAGTTTCTTTGAAAAAAAAAAGGAAATTTTTTACATGCCTCAAAAAGGTTTTCTATAAATTCTACCATAAGTTACAGTAAAATTTTGAATAAATATCTAAAAAACTCATTTGAGAAATAGGACCTAATTTCACTGCTCATTTCCCTTCCATCCTGCAATTTCTTACTACTCTAGTAACCTATAAACTTCTCCCCTCCTCTGTTAAAAGAATTTTCTCCCTCTTCCTCTTTATTGGGATAATGTTTACATCTCCAATTGTTTCGGCCTTTTATTCTCTATCATAAAAGTTCCATCACTTATCTTATAGTTTCTAATATCCTCAAAAATGCAAGACTTATAAATTTTTTAAGTAGATCTGAAAATCAAATGAAAGATATGACTAATAGATTTTCATCCTCTCATTTTTCAAAATTTTCTATCCCAAGTTCTTTTTTTATACTTTTTTTGCCATTATGTCTCATTTCTCATATCATTTTAAGAATGAATTCCAACTTCAAATGACCTAACTTTGCATATGTAAACCTGATTCGTAAGGCAAAATTAATTGATATTATAAAGACCAAAAAAAAAAGTGTGGTTGGACCTTTATATATTTAGTATACTACTCAGTTGAGATGTTTACCATCAAGAGTAAGACCGGAAGGCATAAAAGGAATAGCAAAAGCCTTGAGAGAACAGCTTATTAATTCAGTCAATGTTGTTGTGGATCAGATGATGAGTAGAGAGATGGAACAATTTTGGTTTTGAAGCGTTAAATTCGCATTGATAACGTGGCAAATTCTGGATATTTGATCTATGGGTGGGACCATAAATCGGGTCTACCCAAGCATTTGTCCATTTTTCATCACTCGAAAATGTCAAGACTACAAAAACATCCACGTTTTAATTGAAGGGTGCAATTGGATTCAAATAAAGTTTATAACTTATTGAACTTGAGCACGAGGATAAATTGAAACATCAAGCTCGACTCAAATTTGATTGAGTCATATTGAGTGCTTACTCCTCACAAATTATCGATTAAGGAATCCTTAAACCTACTAGAGCTCCTGATCAAGTCTTGTGTAGACGAAATTTTTTCATGCCTTTGGATGCCTTTCATACTTTTAGTTGTCAAATACAGGATTCGAAGAGCTCCTGATTAGGTCTTATATAGATGAAGTCTTGTCGTGCCTTTTCTACCTCTAACTGTCATATACAAAATGTTAATCTAGTAGCTAAAAAGACATTAAGAACTTTACCCTATCCTAATCATTGGGTTGATTCTAGTGGCTAGGAATACATGTTATAAAACCAATTTTTGTTAGGCCATGATCCAAATTAAGAACGGCACAAGTTAAGTTGTTTTGGTGTCGGCATCTCAGTCACAATTGCATCGTACCACATAGTGTAAAAACGGTTCATATATTATAAACCTATTTGTGAGTAGCGCAAAATGGGTTGGCTCAAAGAAGCAACTCGGACGTAAAAGACTTTCTTCATCATGTATGAAAAAAGGCGGGAGCGTTGGGCATTTGCTTGGGCTTTGGGGTATCCATACCCAACGCCCAATCATATCTCCTCACGCACCGTAAACTCTCTTCGTTTTCTCGTGTCGTCAAACGTTTTTACTCACTTTTTTTTTAGCCTCCAGTCCACCATCCAATTCCCTTTAAGGCCAATTAGTAAATTAAATAGTTAAAAATCCCCACCTTCTCCCCTAAAAATCTGTATATACGCCACCGTAGAGAGAGAAAGTAAGTGAGAGAGAGCTAGTCGGTAGTCTACAAATCCATTCCTTAACTCACTGACTGACTCTGAAGCATGGCAATTCTGTCTCATTCATTTGATTCAACCCTTCTTTGACCTCATTTTAGTCCTTTATTTCTCGCTTTACGGTGTCTATGTTCTCTCTTGCTTGCCGATATACATTCTTTAGGGTTTTGGGGAGATACTAGGGTTTTTTTAAAATTTTTGTCAGCGAGAAATTGGAGGACTATTTGTAGTGGGGAGATTTGACCAATGGAGGCCGCGGCAGGTGTTGCAGCCGCACGCGGTGTTTCTCTGTCCGTGCCCTCGTCTCAACCTTCTCGCAAAGAATGGAGGGTTGTTTCCGAAACATCGGTTCGAAGTTCCAGCAACGAGGTATTCTTTACTTTCAAAGCCTACTTGCATTGCTTGTTTCTTACTACTTAGATTGAAAGGGCTTGTGAATTTTGTCGCTTTTAATTGAGATTAAATAATGGTGAACTGTAGGAATTGGAGCGTTCAAAGTTGGGGCAATCGGATGAGAGATTGATATACGAGGTAATAAATGTCTTCTTAAAAATGGGGTCTTATGGACTTTTTCTGTATCAGTACTCTTTTGATTAGGGAATGTGAGTGAAAAGTGAAGGTTATTTTATGTGGTGTTAAGGTGCAACAGGGAAGAGAGCCGGCTGATGTGGATTTCTGTTCCATTACCATTGACGGAAGTTTGGACAATGATATTTTGCAGCAGAGGCTGCATAGCGTGGTGAAACAAAGAGAGGAGTTGCAGCAGATGGAGACCGAACTTCGCGCTCAACTTATAGCAAGGGGAGAAATTATGGAGATGCGGAGCACTTATGATGCTCATATCAAAGAGCATGAAAATGCCAAAATCAAGCTTCAGGTTTCATGTTTAGCTGATTAGCGTATATGCATTTTTAGAGTAACGAGTTTGTGGATTTTTTTTTCTTTTGCACTTCTGGGTTGCTTATTGAATAGCCTTTCACTGCCTGTGAAGGAGCAACTGCGAGAGAAGGAACAAAGGATACTCGAGTTGGAGAGAAAGATGGAAGACAAAGAAAGGGAGCTGCACGCTATCAGACTAGACAATGAAGCGGTTTGTTTTGCAACTTTTCACGTTATTGAAGGTAATCTTGTTTCAGCCCCTGGCGCGCTTGCTAACCTAAATTCATTCTTTGTTATAAACTTTAGCAGGCATGGGCTAAAGAGGATCTTCTTAGAGAGCAGAGCAAAGAGCTACAAACGTACAGGTATGAGCTCTAGAATATTCTGAGGTCAGAGCCCATTTTTTAGTGGAAACGAGAGACTTTTTGGCTATAGTCCTCTCGTCTTTATGCCCATCATTTTCTTGGCAAGCTTTCGAAATTTCATTCAGATAAAGTCCTGGTTGCTTGACGAAGAGAGAGAAATTTTTTCCTGTTGTATGTTGTTGTGAGCGTTCAACATTTGTTCTTCTGCTTTGTTTTTGTAGGAGGGAGCGAGATAACACTGAGGCTGAAAGAGCCCAGCATATCAAACAAATCCATGAACTTCAGGAACATTTTCAAGAAAAGGACCGACAGCTGATGGAGTTGCAGGAACAGGTATTGCTTTTGAATCTGAAGTTAGCAATTTTCATCTACTTTAGCAAAGCTTTTTGACCATTTTAAAATGCGAATTGGAGGAATTTTTTTTGTGCCTTTTCGTTTATATCCTGCTAATTAATATGCTCCCCAAAGATCATACATGAATTTTAATTTGTTTCCCTTTGTAGAATTACCATGTCAGTTTTTCCAGCCTTTTTTGAAAAAGTTGTTCAATCATATTTATTCAGTACTGTGACTGGTTGGGAATCTTCATCATGCAGAATAGGATTGCTCAAGAGAACATCCTCTTCAAAGATGAACAGTTGAGAGAGGCCCAGGCTTGGATAACTCGTGTACAGGAGATGGATGCACTACAATCAACTACTAACCACTCTTTACAGGCTGAACTTCGAGAACGCACAGAGCAATATAATCAGCTTTGGCTTGGTTGTCAAAGACAGGTTGTTAAGGTTTAACCAAAATTGTACTTTCACATTTCCTTGCTGATCTCCTGCTCTTGATTTCTTCTTCATCCTAATTCTTTACAAGTACTACATGATTTCCTAGAAACAAAATGTATTGGTATTGTATCAGTTAAAGCCAATGATATTTGTTGTTTTCTTAGTTTGGTGAGATGGAGCGTCTTCATCTCCATATACAACAGCTGCAGCATGAATTGGCTGATGCAAGAGAAAGAAGCAACACATACTCAGATGCCTCACATGTTTCTCAGACAAATCCAAGGGATGTTTCCCAGATTGGAAAGAGCAATAGTGGCCACCTGGATATGAGTGGAAGTGGTTCACCTGGTGAAAGCTCTAGCCTACCTAATGGAAATGCTGATAATGCTTCGTTTGTTTCAGTAGGCAATGCATCAGTGCAGGTAGAGTTTCCACTAAAATTATTGTCTGGATGTTTGTTTTGCAAATATTGCTGAAACAATTCCTTTTTAATGAATATATGGATGGGTGTCATTTGCCTATCCTAAATTCACTCTTGCATTCTCATTCCAATACAGATTATTAAAATGAGGAGTTTGTGTAAATAATGAGGCATTAGACAGAAGATTTCTTTTTGTTTTTGGAATTTTGTACTGCTTCTTTGAAAGGCATCAAATATGTCGTATAGCTCTTCAATACATTTACACCTTACTTTAGGGCGTTGCTACATTTTAATTCTTTATGTATCCCAAGGAAGTCCCAATTCTTCTTTTTTTTTTTTCAAACTGCAATCCATATCTCTGTTTACTTGTTGAATATATCTGAGGATCTCATAGTTGAAGATGCCTAAGTTGTTAGAATGTTTTGGATATTCAATTCTGCATCTATCAACTTCACAAGCATGCAAACAACTATTAGAAGTTGTCGGTTAATTCCATGAAGCTGTAATCTTTGTTGTCATCAGCTGAATGACAAGTTCTAGAAAGGTGGGACTGGTTGCCAGTCCTTACTGTATCTGCTGCGGATTGAAAAGTACCCTACAGTTTTCTGTATTATAAAGAAACTAATTTGAGATTGTTGGCATTGTAGAAATATAAAGCTATTTGAATCTAGATCAACGTTGAGTTGGAGATGCTCCTGTCACCTTTTTAATTTTGTATACTATTTTTTCCCTAGTTTTTTATTACTTTCAGCACATTTGTTCTTCCTCCATGTCATGTCCAACTCATGAATATAAAACACAAATATGATGGTTTTCTTTCACTTTATCTTTTCCACCTTATGTTGCTAGGCTGATCATGCCCATGGTGTTCCAATTGCTCCGTCATCCCTGCTTGGGATGCCAACTTACCTTCCACATGGACAGATGACTGCCGTGCATCCCTTTGTGGTGCATCAGCAAGGGGTGCCTCATTCTGTACCATCACATGTTGGACATTTTCACTCTGTGCCAGCAGTGTCATCGCTTCAGCAGTGGCAAAACCAACAGGTGCTCTATTAAAATTTTGGCTGGTTTATCTAGAGTGTTTACCTTCAGTGTGATGGTTTACCACTGTCACTGTTGCTGTCTTAGGCTGTATCAGAGGGTGCAGCAACTCATGATCAACATTCTCTACAAACTGAACCTAACATGTTGAGGTCGGATTCCAATTACAACTATGAATCCTCTGTAAATGGTCAGGTTCTTCATTCGGTTATATGAACGTTAACATCAGCCAAGGAATGGAACCTCATTCTGTGGTTTCATCCTCAAATGTGGAGGGACAGGTCGATGGCTTAAAACTATAATTGCTTAAACTTGTCTTTGTTGCTTCTTTTATGTGGATACTCATTCTCTTCAGCCACAAATCTATTGCAGCCAGTTGAATCCATAGATACAAGCTACCTTTCTGGAGCCCAACCTCAGCAGAGCTTGCAACAAATATCTTCCCAGTTTCATGATGCTTTGAGATTGGATTCTCTTGCACACGTTAACGACACAAAGGTAATGCATTTGCTTAATTCAATGGGTCTCCAGGGTTAAGTTCACCTAATGGTCTGGTTGCTTGTGCTAGGCTCGCTGTCTATTTGTCAGTGGAGAATTTGTATTTCGATTGATTAAAATTTCATCTGGAACAGGAGAAGAATGTCAACTCATTATCTAATTCTCCTATGGAGGTGCAAGGTTTAATGATGGAGAAAAGTGGCTCTATCTCCAATGAATCATCTTCTGAAGAAGCAAATCATGCTGCAAATCTGAGCGAAAGTACAATGGATACTGCTGCAGAAGTCATTCTTTCTGAATCCTTTGCTGCTGCAGGTCAGAAAAATACAGGTATAGGTGGAAAATTATCAGAGGCTAATCTACTTGATGAAAGATCATTATTAGCTTGCATCGTCCGTACAATTCCACCAGGATCTGGAGGTAGAATAGGATCACCACAACGGTTAGTTGATCTCAATTTTTCCTTCCTTTTCAGAGAAGTTTTTGTCAGTGCAAGATTGTTTTTTTACATTGTAAGTTGTTTATGATGTATGCCTTAATTTTGTGCAGCTTCCAAATAGACTTGGTAAAATGATTGCCCCTCTACATTGGCATGATTACAAAAAGAAGTATGGGAAGCTTGATGAGTTTGTCTCCAGCCATCCTGAAGTATGCATTTTGGTCCTAAGTTAAATTTCTGCATTGCTCAATAATAAGTTTAAGTAACCTATTTTCTCTTTCCAGTTATTTGTAATTGATGGAGACTACATACAACTTCGAGAAGGCGCACAAGAAATCATAGCAGCCACAGCAGCTGTTGCTAAGGTTGCTGCTGCTGCTGCTGCCGCTGTAACATCGTCTTACTCATCATTGGTGCCTTCTGTTGCTGTGACTCCGATGGCTCAGTCTCACCGGTTGAAGAAAGCTCCATCAATGGAGTTCACATCTGGAAAGTCTGACAGGAGCATTTTTAAGGAGTATGCAGTGTCCAGGCCTTCAAATGCCATCGATAACTCATCTCAGCTATCGCAATGAAGAACCAGCATCCAAATGGTGTTTCCTTTAGCAACAGTGAAGGTGTGTCAAATGTAAAAATCTTGAGTAAACCTAAGGATCACACGGGAATGAATAGCTCTGAGAGCAGGCATGGGCAATCTACGCTATTGACATATGGAAATGGAACAAATTCTGAGAAGAATGATTTTGGCAGCTCCCAAAACAAGGGTTCAACTCAATGGAAGACCAGTGGGAGTGTAGTTGGAAATCAGCAGGGCAGGTACTCAAAAGAATATTGAATGAATTTTTTTCTTTTTTTTTTTTTTTGGTTTTGCAGATGCAATTTGGTACCTGTATAATATTTTCAATTTCTGCTGTTGTCAGGGTGGTTGGTGCTGCTGCAAGTCCTAGGAGATAGTAAGTAATGACACATGCTCTTTTGAAATTATATATATATATATATATATTCTTAATGGCAATTTGTCCCAAGTTCCAATGGTTTACCCATATCCATTGAGACTTTGGGCAGGATGGATATTGGAATTTGATATTGGGCTTAAAATGGGACAAATCCCAATTGTACCCATTAATTGATGGGAAATTTTGGAAAATGCTTGGGTATCCATTGGGCTCAAATAGCAAGGGCTCCGTTTGGATTAACTATTTTTGGGGGGTGTTTTTGAAATATTTTATTGTAGTAGTGTATATGAAAAATTTTTACTATAACATTTTTTTGAAATATTTGATATACTAATATGGATGGGATGTTTTTTGATTTATTGTATATTACTGTAACATTGTATTTGAAAAACTTATTTTTTAAAAAAATAGCCAATCCAAACGGAGTCTTAGATTCAAAAATTATCTTTAACAATTTTTATAGTCATGATTGTATATCTATCTTTTCCTTTATTTGTTAATCCAATTTTTGGTGATAATCCTGAGTGTAAAGCACTTGCATGTTTATTTAATAAAACTAAAAGAAATTTAATAAATCAAAAATATTAAAATTATATAAAAAATAAATTAAAGAAAAAAATATGTAGAAAATAGATTTGGGTATTGGGCGGGATCAATCTAAACCCATTCCAATGTGATCCCGTCCAAGTTAGTCCCAAAACTTATATGGGTAAGGTTGGGCCCAAACTCATATAACTCGGTTTCATCTTAAACCTAAGCAAATCCCACCCATCCCGCCCATGTTGTCACCTCTAATATATATATTTATATTTGTACATGCATGCATAAATGCTTTATATATGTGCTCTTTTGCATCTGAAAGAAGAGCTGAATTTTTGAGATAGTTTAACTGAGTGTGTTTGACCTTAGTCTTTTGACTCATTTCATGGAAAATCATGCCAGTCTCTTTTGAGTCTTCTTTCATAGTAATCATGTTTGACTGTCAAGGCCTAAGGGTTTTCTTGACTGTCAAACGTGTTTTATCAGCAAATGGTTAAATGCATAGGCAACTTCCTTCAAGTTTATGCACTGTAGCAATGAGCCAAGGTGTTGATAGACACGCCTGTAGTGCTTGATGATGATGTCACTTGAATAGAGAATATGGAATATGACATTGTTTACTGGACAACATAGTAGTATTATATCAAATGATCATTTGGTACCTTGAATGGTACATGAGATATTGGTAGTTTCTTTGTCGTGTGTATTGCTTAATGTTGGCTTATAGCTTACTGATTAGTTTTTGGCTTTCTCGTGAACTTATTCGGCAGGGGATTGGATGATGTCATTACCTAACAAATGTGCGTTCAAAATTGCACTTTCGATGATTTTGGGGATGATGACAAGTGGGAGGTCTTATACTCTCTAGTTCGAATCTCCAGTTGTTGCTGATTAATATCATTCACCGCACCCTTTTCTTGAACTTGGCTCATTTATCTGCGTGTTTTGTATGCTCGGAATTTTACATTGCTTGCGATGACATGATGTGTTTTGTTATGCTGAGTACTAAACATTGCTTGCGATGATGGTCACTGGCAACTTTCATCGTTTAATTTTAGTCGGGGAAAAAAATGATATCTGACCCTCACTTACTTTTGCTTTCTTTATTACTATTTGCGTCGCGTCAGGACTGAAAATCAGATGCCAAAAGTACCCTGCCTGGATTGTTAAAAATGAGTTCCGAGCATCTTAGGAACTTGCTACAGGGGAACTGATGGGGGTAATATGAAACAAACCCTTCACTTGGACCTTTCTATTCAAATGGCAGTGCATGGTGCGATATATTGAATTTTTAAGTCAATTGTCATATTAATGGTAGCTTTTTCATTTGCTTTGTGAAGAATTGAACCCTGTTCCCGGTGCTCCACTCTCATCCAGTTGCATAGTTATTTTTAAGATGTTATATGCTGGCTGATCCTGCGGCATGTGCTTGTGGCTGAGAGGTTTTACCATCTCATTGGAAAACCTTTTCAAGACAAAGTTGATCATGGTATGCAAACAGATATCCAATGTACCGAGCTACCATATGCCAATAGACTGAGCGAAGGAAACTTAGATACAACGGTATCAAACTTACGGAACAGGTTGGCACCGTAGTTAACTTACTTGAGCCACCAGCTTCGCATAGAATGAACGGGCAAAATTAGACATGGCCGGGCTGTAAACAAAGCAAATTAAAAAATAATCACAAAGTTATGTACGGGACAGAAACTAATGGAACAAGCAAATTCTCTAAAGATTGCTGGTGAAAGTCTTAGGAATTGTTTGGGCAATTTCAGATGCAGATAAAATAACGTATAGCATTTTAATTTTGGATGACCGTGGAGCATCACGACCTTCCAAATGAATGCATATCGGATGGAATTAGTATTGACGGGTAAATTTAGCATGGTAATAAAAACCAGCCCCGAGTGGAGGTTCAACAGGCAATCAAGTGAATCGGCCATCTAACTAGGTTGGGTTGATAGTTAGATCGGATAGGTCATAAATTTCTTGATCAGTTAATGATTCGATAGTTCAATCGATAAAATTAAAAAACTATTGATTGAACCACTATTTCAAAAAAATTATATTATTTCTATAATTTAGAATATAGTATTGCATTATTTAATATAGCTATTGGTTGAACCGATCAACTTGCAATTGAACTAGCAATCGAATGAACCGTTCACCTTTGCGGATTAAAGCTCAGGCCGGGTTTTGTACCTATGAAATTTAGCTATTGTTAGAAGGGAAGAAAGCAATTTGAATAATACAGTCACGGGCAGGATGGAGACTAACGAAACAAACAAATTTTGTCAAGAGTTGATGGTGAAAGTCATATGGATTGCTTTGAGCTTGAACAATTCAGATGCAAATAGACTCACGTGTAGCACTTCTGTTCTTTAATTTTAATATTATTGTTTTTCAATGGCAAAAGTTATAATACTCAGCTTCAACAGAAAGGAAGATCAACTAAATTGTACAAGGGTTAAAGGGGAAATAGCCCGGTTAAACCATAAAGATAAAGGTGCAATGATGCACCCTCTAAATTATTTTAATTACGTTAGCTGCAGGATGCTGGATTTGAAGTCTCCATCTACAATAGCTCATAAAGGAATTTTAAATGTCTCTTGGTGATCCACTTATATTCTTTGATAAATATGAAGCATTGCTAACACTAATGCAAAAATAATAATAATAAAACTTTCGAGTATCACTACCTTCTAAGAACCAACTCCTCTAAAAGGTAAAGCATAAAATATAAATCTAACTGCAAGTCAAGAGTTCAAATCTTTACACCTGCTATAAAATTTAAAGAGTGTGAAGTAGTGCACCTTTTTGGTGTAAAGATAGGAAGCACTCCCTCTAACTCCCCTTAACTCAATTGGACCCTTCCTGAAATATTGCACATCTCCTTTGCTCTAGAGGTAGGAACCACTCCCTCTAACTTCCCTTGACTTAGTTAGGCCCTCTCCTAAATAGGTTAGAGTAGGAGTTGACAATTGGCACAACAAAAAAAAAAAATTTTCTAAGGCCTTGCTCTCTATTATTTTATATTTCACAAAATTGTTTATGGAGAATAATTAAAAATCAGCTAAAGCTACTCTTTTATTGATTATGGATTTTCAAAATTTTTTTTATTAAAAAATCTATAATTTGAACACAAAAGTAAATAAAAATATTAGAAAAATTGATTATCCAAAATCAAAGATTATAATTAGCTAAAATAAACAATCGAAAACAAGCCCTAAATTCATGCATCTTGGCTTACTATTCTTCATGAAGGAAATTTGGCAAGAATTAGGGCTTTAAACTAACCAAACTATTCATAAGTAGTTCGATTAAATGATCGACTTAACTTGACATTGATTAAATTCGAGTCGATCTCGAGTGCTCGATTAGTCAAACGAGTCGAGTATCAAGCGTTGATATATTAAGTTCAAAAGTTTGACGAACCTTATCGAGCAATACATATTATAATATATATATATATTAACGTATAGTATAAATTACATATAATAGACTTGAGCTTACTCGATCCCAAACGAGTCGATCTCAAACGCCTCATAGGGCTTAGCAAATCAAACTTAATCATAGAAATTCATACTTGACCAAGTCGAGCTTGATCTCAAACATTTATATCAAGTTGAGCTCGAAGTCAAGCATGACATTGCTTGGGATCGACTAAACTCGTTTGCCTACTCAGTAAAATAGCTAGTTCTAGACTTCTGGCCAGCGTAGTCAGGGCCTAAGTAGAGGAGGGGTGTGCCGTAGGCATCTTGTCTTAGAACTTAGGGGGACCTACATGAGAATAACCATCTCACTGTAAATCAAGGTCAGCCATCCCACCCTTCAAAGCATCTATAACAATAGTAGTAGGTAATACGACAACCTTTATCTGGTGTAAAGAGCAAACAAGGAGGAGTTGGTATTCTTTTCAAAGCAATTGTAAGATAACAAACTACCCTGCATGCCCATCCCACCTCCCCTCAAAAGTGAGAAAGAATGAAGGAAAAGCATAACTGAGCAAACAATGCAGAACCAATGGGAATTTTACTCATGAAGGAAATAGAAGAAGATCCAATATTCTCTGGTTAAATACAAACTAACATGAAATGGTCATTCTTTCGAAGCTCTCAACCCTAGCCCTATCAAGACTCGAATGTTCCAAAGCTCATTTTCCTTGGCCATCACCAGAATTTGCATCCAAGGAACTTTGCTTACTGCCTCGTCCCTCCATCAAACTGCCTGAATTAGAAAGCCCAGTTTGCATGATTTGATGCATGCCATGGTTGGAACCACCTTGACCTTGGAATTGTTGCTGTGCCTGGAAATGGAGCAATTGATGTTGCTGATCTTGAGATCGGAGAGCACTAAGCTGGAAGGGCAACTTCTGAACAGGAACTCCTTGATGCTGCTGCACTGTTGTGGCTTGAGCTTGTTGCACTGTTGTGGCTTGAGCTTGTTGCACATAAATTCCTTGTTGAGCACCAGAACTTGAAGGAAGCTGTAACATATTCTTAGACGTTGGAAAGAAGTTATATCAACAATGAGACTAAATGACTTTAACCCACCTGTGGAGGCGTTGCTGATGGTTGTGGCTGAGCATCAGCAATGGCAGCTAAATACATCAAATTTCTCTGCAGGACTGCTTGATACCTTAATCATTCACAAAGTCACAATGATGTCAAGAACGCTCTGCTTGAATACAAGTCTGGCAAAGGAGGCTAAAAGCTTAGCACTTCAAATTCCTCTCAGATTCAAGCAGCTGACAAAATCAGAGGACATACACAGAACTTGTACACAAATTCAGCAAATTAGAGAATAGCGGATCTTATTTCAAAGTGAAATTACTAAAGTTAGACATCTGAGGAAAAAATGGTTTAATGCCAATGAATCTGATATAATTCTTTGGTAACTTTAAACTAGCCTAGCTGATATATAAAAAAGTTCAGCAAGTATATCAGCTTGATAAAACAACCCTTCATAGTTCAACTACTCGTACAATTCTAAACTACTGATACCAATTTTTGCTTAGTGATATCATGCTGGCTAGAAAGTTTAACTATGAATGAAATTTAAGTCCCTGGTCTCAATGTATTATATTATTAATTTTTAAACAACCCCATCTTCAGCAAATCTTGATGCTAATATGAGTAGCAGTAAAGATGCCTATCCTTGGAGATCTTTTACTCAAGATACACATCAACAATTATACAACTGTTTGGCTCGTTCCACTATATTCTATTTGTTTCTCCAACATTTATAACAAGTAACAGGCACAGATGGAGACTGTAACATGAGGATTGATAGATGAACTCAAATTTAAACTACATTTTATCAAACCTCGTTATCAAAAATGCACTTTTAACAATGGGACTGTTTTCATGTGAGAAAGCATCACAATAAAATGTTTCCATTTGTTTCTCCTTATTGAAATTCTAAACTTTGAAACAGTCCAATCCCTGGTAGAGAAAAAGAGGGGGGGGGGGGTGGAATAGAAGAGGTACTTGGTGCCAGCAACTCCTATAACTATCTTCATCACACATCATTTGGGTACGCCGTAATTCAGCTACATTATTTTCCCGTGACAATTTTAGGGATCTAGTGGCACAGATTCAAGCTCTAAAGAGGACACTTCGAGTGAATACCATACGATTCATAACGTGAAAGATTTTATAGGGAAGAAACTAGAATGACAATTCAAGGACTCTAAATGCTCAAAGAAAACTTGATGACTAGTTCAGGGATTCATCAGCTGAAGGCCACAGGGCTTATCCCAAATGATAAATGTATCCACAACAGAAAGCAAAGAAGAAGAAAAGAAGCTTTACACCAGAGGGAGGCAATGTACGACCAATGCAAACAAATACGCTTTTTTCAAAAAAAATAGTAACTTACTGGGCACACTCTGAAACTTTGCCAAGGTTTTGATTTTCCAGTATAGCCAAAATCAAATTTTTGTTGTCATCCAAGCACTGCATCAGTCATCAACACACACACTCAGTAGTCACGTAATTCAATACTAGTATTTATTAATCGCGAAAATAATAAAGATATTGGTACCAATTTATCCATCTATTTCCTGGGGGGGGGGGGGGGGGGACTT